CCCTCGCCGCCTCCTCCCTGGTTATCACTTGGGAGGGTTGGGTCCTCGCATGGCCTTCTCCTGACCTGTCCACTGGCAGGGTCCAGACGAGCTAAGCGTTGCTGGTCGGGAACCTCCCAAGCGCAACTGAACTTTATTGAGCCTGGATCTCTTATTTTGCAGCTCCTGACCCTGTTTGGTTTCGGGTTGGTGAATTGTGATCACCAACTGAGTCCTTTCCATGAATTCGGCTCAGAGGTCTTGTCTGTGCATTTGTTAATAGTTTCATTTATTCAGCCAGCCCTACTTTGAAGCAGGGTCTGTGCCTGAGCAGCAGCTCTTCTAGAAACTTTACAAAGTAGGTACATAGGCATACCTTATCTCATGTTAGAGGCAAAGGCTCTGAAGGCTCAGAGAGGCTAGGTAACTTGCCCACGGTCACACAGCAGCAGCTTTATTGGTTCCATACACTTCCCATCACACCCTGCAACTTCCTTTTCTAAGAACTTCCTTATCCCAAATAAGGTAACATTTACTGGGGGTAGGGAAGTAACATGTCTGTATGGATCATGTTACACTGTGCTAGGTGCTTTAAAAATATTGACTTTAGGGCCCTCCCTGGTAGTGCAGTGGGTTAAAGCACAGCACTGAGAAGCTAAAGCCACTTCAGCATGAGTCCCATCCCAGCCCTGTCCCAGAGGTGACCCACATGGAGTAGCAGACCTCTCCTGACCATCTGCTGCTCCCCTCAGCAGTGTACTTTGTCAGTTGGCCTGTTCTGCTCCCCATTCTGTCTCTGGTGGGTCCTTTCACTGCCCCTGCACCTCTGGATTGTACCCCAGTTCTGTATGAATAAATAAATCTTTTTTTTTTTTTTACAAAAGTTTATTTTTACATCATTTTGCACATTTTTTTTTCCATCTCGATTGTAATCCCCGCGGGTTTCCCATCACCAAATCACCCGTGTGCCACCACCATAGTCCCATGCATTTCCCTCCCTTCCCCACCCCCCTTTTTGATCCTATTCCTCACTCCACCCCCACAATATGTCTCTGGTATATGGTTGTTCATTATTTTTGTTATTTTCTCGCCTGGTCCATTATACTCCTGCTATGAGTGAAACCATCTGGTATTTTTCTTTCTCTTTCTGGCTTATCTCACTAAGCATGATCTTTTCCAGCTCCATCCAAGTTGCTGCAAAAGACATGTTTCTCTTTTTTGGTTGCTGAGTAATATTCCATTGTATATATGTACCACATCTTTTTTATCCAGTCATCTACTTTTGGGCATTTGGGCTGCTTCCATGTTTTTCCAATTGTAAATAAAGCAGCAATAAACATGGGGGTACAAGTATCTTTTTCAATCAGTGTTTTTGTGTCTTTTGGGTAGATACCTAGGAGTGGGATTGCTTGGTCATATGGAAGCTCTATGAGTAGCAGTTTGAGGAACCTCCAAACAGTTTTCCATAGTAGTTGTACTAGTTTGCATTCTCACCAGCAGTGTAGGAGAGTTCCTTTTTCTCCACATCCTCGCCAACATTTGTTGTTGCTAGTTGTTTGAAGATGTGCCATTCTCACTGGGGTGAGGTGGTATTTCATTGTGGTTTTAATTTGCATCTCCCTTATTACAAGTGATGTTGAACATTTTGAATAAATAAATCTTTTTAAAAATATTGACTTTAATTATTTAATTTTCCATTCAACAACCCCTTGAAACAGATGTTTCAAGATGTTTCCATATTACAGATAAGGAAACTTCAGTGGTCAGGAATTTAAAGTACTGTGCTGGGATTCCTGTAAAACCATAGTTAGTATCTGTATAGTGCTTGAATGTTTACAAAGCACTTTCAAGATCTTCATTTCAGAGATATCATCCCATTTCACAGATGAGGGCAGAGGTTCATTCATGAAGTTAAGCCCTCTGCCCACAGTGATAAAGCTAATAATGTGAGTAACAGAGCCTGCAATTTGAGACAAACTCTATAGGTCTGGTAGTATCAGAGCTCATTCCATTTATTTATTCATATACTGTGCCAAGTACCATTCTAATAATGCAATAGTAGCTAACAATCAGTGAATACTTACTATGTGTTCAGTATAGTCCTACTTGAGTTATATACACTATTTCCTGTAATGCTCCAAACTACCTAATGAAGTAAGTATTGCTACCTATTACTTTTCACAGATGGGGAAACAGACTCAGTTGAAGTAACTTCCCAAAGTTACATAGCAACTAAATGGTATGGATGCTGAAGACACACTTTAGAGTCCCTGGGCACCAGGTACCTAGGTTGTGTCCCCACCTCAGTCTAAAACCACTTGTCCAAGACATTTGGTTTGCCATCTACCACTTCTTTCTCTACCCTGTGTGTGGCAGGCCCACACAGCTCTTGCTCTCAAGAAGCTAACACTCTATAAAACCAGTCAAGAATACTGCCAGCTGTGCCTGACAGGGTGCTGGAGGGTTAATAAGCTAATGGCACTTGGAATGCTTCAGCAAAGGCACTGGATCGACTATGGGTACTTATGTGTGAAACTCATTGCCAGGGGTGGTTCTTGCTGTGATAAGGTGCCTGCAGTTCAGTTTGAGCTGTTTGAGGTGTGCAGCCTTCCTTGGGAAACAATTTGAATGAGGTCATTCATGTCAGGGATTGGATCATTTCCCTTCCTGTTCTGGGGATGTTGGGAGTTGGTGGTGGTGCCATAGTCTCAGGCCTTTTGGTTTCAAGTGGGTGTCTCTAACAGCTCAGAAGGGTTTCCATTGAGGGACACGGTGATTGGAGCTGGAGACTAACATGTTTATTTGGGCCTCAGAGTAGACACCCAGGCTGAATCTTGCTTCTGTCACTTCTCTTAGAGCCTCTAACTCTTTTTAAAATGAGGACAAAATACCTTCCTCACAGGGTTATTCTGAAACATACTCTTGTTAACATATTTAAAAACAGAGTAGATACTTAAAACTTGGTAACCATTATTGTTAACCTTATGTTATTATATTGTTAACTGGCGTTTTAGGTCCAGACTGAGAATTAGATGGTGGAAAGAGTCACCCATTTATTCAACCATCTTCTAGACTGTGCCAACTAAGTCTTAAGTAGGAATCACGAAAACAGGCATTACAATAAAATGGGACAAGTGTGATGATAGGGAATTACATAAGGTGTTTTGAAACTTTAAAGAAAAAAAAATAATCAACAACTAGGAGACTCAGCTAAAGTTTTGCAGAGGAGGTAGTTCTCAGTTTTAAGTCTATGTTTCCAGGAAGTGGAAAATGCTGCCTGCTGGAGGCAGATAGAATGCAAGCCGCAGCTGAGCCTCACCCAAGGGCCTTGATTCTGATCTGCAGCCCCTCTTGCTGCAAGGCCTCTTGACTCACACATCTTTGCTAGTCAGCCTTGCCCTAGAATACCCCTCTGGGTCACCTGCTGGTGGCCAGCAGCCAGGGTTCAGTGCTTTGGCTTGATGTGGCTGAGTCATAAGACCCATAAGACCTTTTTTTTTCACTGCTAAGCTCTGATGGAAGCCTTAGTCAGGAGCAGTAACCTAGGTCTGTCTTGTGAGGAAAGCTTAAAGATGACTACCAAACACTGCTTCTCCAAGAAGTGTGCGTGTTGGGGGAGATGTGTGTGTGGGGGAGGGGTGGAGACAGCCCAAGAAATAGGAGTCTTTCCTTGATAGGTACTAGCTCTGGTCAGGTGAGATTTCCCAGGGTGGGGAGGGAGGGCAGACCCTCCCTCTCTGCCCCCAGCTCTACAGGGGAAGCCTCCCTTATCCCTCCCAACCCATTCTGGAGGCCCCTTTCTGACGGCAATAGCTCAGATCAGTCTTTCAGTTCACGGTGACCACATTTTACAAACCAAAACGCATATGCTGACAAAGACTGCAAGAATTTGTGATCACTTTCCAAATGCAAGAGAATACTGGAACCTCCCTTTTCCTGGGGACCACCCTGTTACAGAACCTCTAGGGTGATCTCTGTCGTTAAAGGGGACATTTAGTTGGAAATCTTGATATTGAGGGTCACCTATCAGGAATTTTTCATACAGTACAACACGGATATGTGAAATCCCCGTGAGGACGGCTGATGACTATTTCCACTTAGTCTGAGAGTGAACACTCAGCGAGAGGAAATAACTTACCCAATATGCTACATCCCGGAAGTTTGAGTTTTGGTTTGGAGTAGAGAGTGTCACTCTCAGGGATTGGGAGGGAATGTTGACGCAGACATATCTCTCGCAAAGAGGCACACGCCATTTATTTGGGGCCTCGAGGAAGCCAGCCAAGAACTGAGCAGCCTGGGTTCCCACTCACGAGTTGGAAGTCCCCAAGCAAAGGGCTTGGTCGTGCACCGTCCCATCAGGGTTTGGCCCAGGCCTCACGGCCCGGGATGCGGGGGCGAGCCCCTAGACCTTGCGGGTCACTAAGGCCTCCGGCCCTTGCCCCAGCCCAGGGGTGGCACAGCGGGACAAAGCGTGGGCGCAGAACTCCCGGGCCTGTTCTGCGCCTCCCCCACCTCCAGTCACTTGGACGCGCCTTCCGCAGCCTGGAGCGCGGAGCGGAACGAACCACGAGGAGGCGCGGGGGAGGCGCCGAGGGCAGTGGGTCAGCGCCCCGCGGGGCAGGTGGGC